TGATATAAGAACTTGGGTAATAGACACAGGTGTCGCATCTCACATATATCATGATTTTAAAACACTTTCAAAACCTGTAAAACTAGAACCTACCATACCTGTCTCGCTACTATATGAAATCACAAGTCATTCAACCTACAAAGGAATCATAAAATTTTGTAATAATCTAATTTTGCAGGATGTCTTTTATATACCAAAATTCACTTGTAACCTTATTTCTCTCAGAAAGCTAACCCAAGTTTTAAATACCTACATTTTCTTTTATGTCAACCACTATTTTGTGCAAGATTTGACAACTAACAAAATATCGAGGAAAAGACAAATAATGAAGGGCTTGTACACCCTGAGTGAAGACAGATTCTAACAAAGCATGCATCAGCCACACTCAAAAAAACAACCTACAATTATGGCATAAAAGACTTGGCCACACATCCATAAAAAAATTGATTCACATTCCTAACCTAAAGTTATCAAATAGTGTAGCTTCACATGATTGTGAAATATGCCCATTGGCAAAACAACAACGTTTGTCTTTCCCTAAAAGTTCCATTAATACTAATGATATTTTTAGTTCGATACATGTTAACATTTAGAGACCATACCCCGTTAATTGTATTTTTAGAGCATTCTATTTTTTAACTATAGTTGATGATTTTTTATGAGCCACTTGGACTTATTTATTAAAAGAGAAAACAAGTATACCAAATATCTTAAAATGTTTTTGCAATTTAATACAAAACCAATTTCAGAAAACAATCAAAACAGTTTAAAGACAAATAATGACATTAAATTTATAAACATCTCATGCAAAAATGTTTTTCAAGAAAAGAGAATCATGCATAAGAAAACATGTACATACACACCACAACATAATGGTGTGGTGGAAAGGAAACACAAATACCTACAGCAAGTTGCTAGGGTGTTGATGTTCGAATCAAAATTACCAAAAAGGTTTTGGGGCGAAGCCATACTCACAGTCACACACATAATAAACGATTTGCCAAACTCTGTTTTAAAGTGAAAAAATTCTTATAAATCTCTACAAAAAACAGCCAAATTATTCAAACCTGAAAGTTTTCAGTTGCTTATGTTTTGCTACAAAAGTTAACTGCCAAAAGGACAAGTTTGAACCCAGGGCTTTAAAATGTGTTTCTTAAGGTATGCACCCAATGCCAAGACCTACAAATTATATGATATAATAAAGAGAAAAATAGTTTTTTCAAAGGATGTCATATTTCATGAGCATGTTCACCCATACCAAACACAAAATCCTAAACTAGATTATCATGACATATCACTGCCAATACCAAGCATTGACACAACCACCATACTTGAAAACTAGTTATAAAGCAGAGAGGAAATTTCCTTACCAGACATCATCCCCCAAGAACCTGAAACGAGGAGGAACACCAGGGTGAGAAGCAGGCTTGCTTGGATGGAAGACTTTGTTGCCCATATCACCGAACAACCTGTGCCCGAACCACTATTCCTCATGTCCACCTCACCTGCATACAATCATGACTCTGTTAATTTCATTGCACAAGTGTCTATTACAAAAAAACCAATGTCATACAGGGATGCTAAAGAAGACAGCAAGTGGATTGAGGTCATGCAAGCCGAGCTGTCCGCACCAGAAGACAATAACACTTGGGAACTAACAACACTATCAAAAGGGAATAAAGTAATTGACTCAAAATAGGTGTATAGAATAAAATACAATGCTGATGAATCAGTTGACAAATACAAAGCAAAGCTCTTTGCTAAGGGTTACAATCAAGAATTTGGCATAGGCTATCATGACAGCTTCTCACCGGTGGCCAAGATGATCATGGTTCGACTACTTATAGCCATGACAGCTGCAAGTCACTGGCCAGTGTATCAGTTAGACATCAATAATGCATACCTACATGAGTTTGTGGAAGATGAGCTATACCTAAAATCCCCAGAGGGCTATACTCCAAGGCCAGTGAATGGCAAGTCTACCGTTTAACCAAGAGCCTGTACGACCTGAAACAAGCATGTCGCCAATGGAACAAGGAGCTTACTTTAAAGCTCCAATCCATCGGCTTCACCAAGTCAGAAGCCGACCACTGTCTATTCACAACAGGAACAAAAGAAAACTATATTGTAGTTGTAGTATAGCTCCTTGACTTACTTGTTACGGGTCTTGATAACAAAGAGATTTGTAAAGTCAAAAGCGCCCTAAATGAAGCCTTCATGGTCAAGGATCTCGGACAAGCAAGATACTTCTTTGGAGTAGAGATAGCCAGGTCGAAAAAAGGGATCTACATCAACCAAAGGAAATATGTTAAAAATATTTTACAAGATACAAGGATGGAAGACGCAAAAGGAAGACACTTTCTTTTGCCTTCCGGACTAAAACTAAATGTAGAAAAATGAGAAATCTTACAAGATCCGGAGAGATACAGACGTCTAATTGATCGTTTGCTTTACCTCAACTTTACCAAACCCAACAAAACATACTCCACCCAACATCTCAGGCAGTTCATGCAATAGCTCAGACGGCCGCATCTCGACGTTGCACTACATGTTGTCAGGTACCTAAAACAATATTCGGAACAAGGTATCTTCTTCCCGAAAAGGAATGACCTCAAAGTCCAAGCCTTTTATGACTCGGACTGGGCATCGTGTCCGATGACCTGCAAATCCCTCACGGGCTTCTGCATTTTCCTCGAGCTAGCGCTAATCTCCTGAAAAACAAATAAACGAACTACGGTGAGCAAGTCTTTTGTAGAAGTTGAGTACAAAAATATGTCATTCACAGTGTGTAAAGTTCAGTAGATAACTTACCTCATTTGAGATTTTCGAATAGTACATCATTTACCCGTAATATTGAACTGCAATAACAAAGTCGCCGAGCACATCGTAGCAAACCCGGTCTTTCACGAATGAACAAAGCACCTCGACATTAATTGTCATATAGTTCGCAACCAGGTACAAAAATGTTTCGTCAAAACAAAGCACGTCACCTCGAGAGAACAGTTCGCCGATTTGCTCACAAAACCTTTAGGGATCTCAGCACATCACCGACTTCTGTTCAAGATTAAGCATTTACAACAAGAAAACACAAAGAGTTAAAGAAATGATGCAGAGCTCGAAGAGTTGAAAGTAATCGGACTTCATCTTGAGGAGCGGGTGAAAAATTATGAGTGAAAAACAAGAAATCGAAAGGTGACGGACAGGTGGACCACCCAGATCAAAATCCTAAAATGGAGGGTCAAGATTTTTTTTATTTTAAAATTGGTTAGGCTGTTGTGGACAGCTGATAGTCTCGTTAGATTCCAGAGACCACATTTTCATTTTCCCTCTTTACTCTCCGGCATGTATAAATATTCCCAATGGCCTTTACAAAATTCACAAGACAAAAAATTAAAAACATTAAAATCTCATTTACACCCGGTTGGGTTTTTACACGGATTCATCAATTAGACAATCTTCGCCAACTGCATTATTAATCTCTATTCTCGCCTTATTCAAAATGTCAGAATGATTAAGTAAATTGGATAATGTCCACTCAATTGTAACCACAGATGAATCAATCCCTACTATTAGAATTACCTGTAATTTATACTTTATATAATATATTAATTTTTAAACAATATAATCCAACTGATTATTCAAAAAAATTCATGTTATGTGAGATAGCTAAATTACGATAAACAAAATTAAATTTGATTATCATAAAATCTTAGGTGAGCAAAATATTTTAATATATTTATACATTAGTATATATGGCCCCACCAGACAAACTCTATGGATTAAATAGAATGCCTACTATGTCTTTTTACTGAAATAAATTAATTGAAACTAGCAAGTATAAAGTTTTGTACATTAAAATTTTCAATTTAATACTAGGCCAACTCTGTAGATTCATGTGTTCTAATAAAGTTAATTAATGTCAATTAGCAAAGTAGACAAATTTTAGACATTAGATTCGCGGTAAGTCGGGTATATTTGGTGCAAGAGAAAACGAAAGGACTAACCATTATGAGACCTTTGATAATTTGATCGTTGTAGTTTTCTGGTTCTGACTGTTGAAGAGACAGCTAGTGGTTGATCATGGAGTTTCCTTCTTCATTTCTTCTATTTTCATCAGTCAAACCTTGCAAGAATCGATCCATTCTTTCCCAGTATTCTTCACATTTTTCTCGTAGTTATGACCGAGCAATGCGACGCACCGGCAAGCTCAAGCGCCGCCGATATAACCTCCTTAAACTCATTGGCTTCTTTCTCATTGCTCGCACCTTCGCCGCAATACCTCTTCCCTGCAACCATTCTCATCATATTATTGAGAGTCAAGTCCGAAAAAAGAGACTTCAGCTCCACCTTCGTGAAACCCGGGCGCGAGTCACGGGCGAGTCGGCAGAGGAGCCGCCTAACCTCGTCTTTTCGAATGGACAAAAACATGTTTAGACGGTTAGAGGTGAAGATCTCGATAGCACCGATTTTGCGCAAGTTGCGCCAATGGCTGCCGTAAGGTGATGACACCATGGTGGTGTAGTTGTAGCCAATGTGCTTGCCAACGAGCAAAGGTGGGCGATTGGCGAGACAGACGTCGTTCGTGGTGAAACACTCCTCCGCGATTGATGGCGAGGAGACTATAAAGACGAGGCGGGAGCCGAAGCGGAGGGAGAAGATGGGGCCGTAGGTTTGGGAGAGTTTATGGAAGGTGCGGTGGATGGGTGGCTTCAGGAGGTGGAGATGGCCAACGAAGGGAAGCCATGGCGGGCTTGGAGGAAGCTTTTGGTTGGATCTAAAACCTGAAAATTGGAGAAGGAGGCGAAGAATTGGAAGGAGAACGATTAAAGTTAGAGAAGACTAGAGTGTAGCTGTGCTTTCCATGGCAGGTCGGATCTGCGACTGCGATGCAGAGAAGGTGTTCGATAAAAGGTTTATATGAAGGGCTTGAACATGGATAACGAGCCCGCATATTTGACCCGAAAATTTTCCACAAAAGCATGTGCTGCATGCCGATACTAGTGAGTTTTTTATGATAATAGAAAGACATGTGCTGCATCTGTCCCTATATTTAATGTAGTTATATTTAATTATTATTATTTTCTTTAAATTATTATTTTTATAATTAAAATAAAATATCGTATAGGATCTATAATCAAATTAAAAGCACGCATGTGCCTTTTTGCATTACACTAAAGTCGGTTTGTGAATAGAGTAGGAGCAACTTGACTTCATTTCCAAATCATACTTCACCAAATCACATTGTGTCCTTCTTAATTTATTCATTACATATACGTAATATACAATCTAACACATTATACAATATGTATTACATATAAATGCATACATCTAACTATTGTACATTATGCAATTTATATAAATACACGAATGTAATATTAAAAAATTAATTCAAAGTAAATAAATTAATCTAACATATGTTAGATTAATTATGAAAAGAGTTAATATTTTTTATAACATAACCTGATGTAGTGAGATTTACAACATAAGACGAATCATATGTTTTTTTGACTATAACTTGGTACATTTCATTAGTTAAATTGCATGTATATATTAATAAAAGTGCATTTAATAATAATTAAATTAGTAAAAATAATAATTATTTAAATAAATAAATAAAACTTTTTTAAGAAATCATTACCATATTCTTATAACGAGAATCCATTCTTCAATTTAACAAGTGTTCTTTTCTCTCTTAAATACAGGCTTGATATTTTTTTTTTAATTTTCAATTATCAAGTTGGTTGCCTTCTTTAGGTATGAAAGACTAAAATAATTTTTTATGAGAAGTAAAATATATTATGGATGATGGAAATTTATAAAATCAAAAATTGGCCAACAAAATTCATGGGAAAGCTTATATTTAAAAGTAGACTAAGTGATTTTTCCGTTTTGTATAATACTAAGTAAGGTCAAAGTAGAATATGTCTAAACTTAGTTTATGTAAATCAAAAGACTATAACAAATTGAAGCACACCCATAAGTCGTTAGCTTATAAGTAGGAGAAAAACAGTTATACTACCTTTTAATTTTAAATAGAATTTGATATTTATTTAAAATTTCATACAAAATCTTACATTGTATTGGATTCTCAATTTTATTACAATTTTATATAATTTTTAATTTTTTTAAAAAAATAATAAAACTAATTATTTAAAATTTCAAATTCTACTCATTGTGAGCTTCTGGATCAAGTTTATTCCGATGCAAATCACGTGAATTTATAACTAATCAGCATACTTTAGAACTTTATCCATGATTGGACGAGCTCTGCACATGGCTTCTAGCGGCTCTAATTTGGACATTGTGATTCCTTTCCCTTCTCGCATATCAATCTCTTTTTCACTCACTCTCTCCCATTCAAAACATTGAATCAAGGATCCTAGTACCAAGCTTACCAATCTTTGAGCTAATCCTGCACCGGGACAAGTCCTTCGCCCTAACCCAAATGGCATGATCAATTTAAGAGCTTCTTCTTTATTTTTTTCAAACCTCTCTGGCTTAAAACTTGTTGGATCTTTCCATATCTCAGAATCTCTGTGTATAGTCCATGCATTGATCAATAAAATTGTATCTGATGGCATATTATAACCATGAATAACACACTGGTCAGATGACATATGAGGAAGCAAGAGAGGAGCTGCCGGATACAAACGAAATGTCTCAAATATAATATTTTGAAGGTATTCAAGTTTGGGGAGATCAAATTCATCAATTAAACGATTTTCACCAATTTTAACATTAATCTCTGCTCTTGCCTTATTCAAAATGTCAGGATGATTAAATAAATTAGACAGTGCCCACTCTATTGTAACCATCGATGTATCAGTTCCTGCTACTAGTATTACCTGCAATTTATACTTAATATATTAATTATTAAATATTATAAATCAACTTATTATTAAGACATTAAAATTATCTTTTAAGAGTATATCAATTAATACATTTTTATAAAAATTATATTTTAGTAACACAAAGTTTCTTCTTCTCAAATACCGTATATTTTAGTGACATGACAAAATAGTATTTAATAATTAAGAAACGTCAAACGATTAAGTATTAATTTTTTAATGTTGTTTTTGAAAAATAGGTTTCTAGAAATAACTTACGGAATAAGCTTCAGTTTAATAGAGTTCGTTCATGGTATATTTGCTAGAAGAGAAAAAGGAAAGGACTAACCATTATGAGGCCTTTGATAATTTGATCGTTGTAGTATTCGGGTTCTGACTGTTGACGAGAGAGCAAGTGGTCGATCATGGAGTTTCCTTCTTCTTCATTTCTTCTCTTCTCATCAATCAAACCTTGCAAGAATCCATCCATTCTTTTCGCAGTATTCTTCACCTTTTTCTCGTAATTGTGACCAATCCATTTCAGCACTGGCAAGAAATCGCCTGGATGCGACGCACCGGCAAGCTCATGCACCACCGATATAAGCTCCTTAAACTCATTGGCTTCTTTCCCGTTGCTCACTCCATCGCCGCAATACCTCTTCCCTGCAACCATTCTCATCATATTATTAAGAGTCAAGTCCGAGATCAGAGGCTTCAATTCCACTTTTATGAATCCCCGGCGCGAGTCACGGGCGAGTCTGCAGATGAGCCGCCTGACCTCGTCCTTTCGAATAGAGGAGAACATGTTGATACGGTTAGAGGAGAAGATCTCGATAGCGCCGATTTTGCGTAAGTTGCGCCAATGGCTGCCGTAAGGTGACGTGGCCATGGTGGTATAGTTGTAGCTAATATGCTTGCCGACGAGCAAACGTGGGCGGTTGGCGAGAACGACGTCATTCGTAGTGAAACACTCCTCCGCGATTGACGGCGAGGAGACTACAAAGACGAGGCGAGAGCCGAAGCGGAGGGAGAAGATGGGGCCGTAGGTTTGAGAGAGTTTATGGAAGGTGCGGTGGATGGGTGGCTTCAGGAGGTGGAGATGGCCGACGAAGGGAAGCCGTGGCGGGCTTGGAGGAAGCTTCTGGTTGGATCTGAAACCTGAAAATTGGATAAGGAGCCGGATAATTGGAAGGAGAAAGATTAGAGTTAGAGAGGCGTAGAGTGCAGCTGTGCTTTCCATGGCAGGTCTGACTGATCTGCGACTGTGATGCAGACAAGATATTTACATAATTATGCCCATAACGTACCTCAGTGGGCTTTTAATATAGTTGTTTTGTTTTGTTATTTAAAAAAAAAAATTATTATTTTATAATTAAAATAAGATTATCTTATTGCTATCCATTTTCTGGCATAATGGTATCCACACATAAACTAAAATAAAATGCTCGTGAATCACATGCGTCTATAATTAAATTAAATGAATTAAAAAAAAAAAGCTAAAACAATTTCCAACACACTTAGAAGCGCTTGCCTTACCAGTGAGGGGCCAAAAAAAAGCTATACTTCCTTATTCCTTCACCATTTTAAGAAAAAAATATTACATTATAATACATTTCTTTTGTCATTTTTTAACAAAATATATTTAATTCATGCACAACTTATAATTTACAATTTCACATCAAACTTATATTATCTTAAGTTCTATAATTTAATAAAATTCAACATAATTTCTGAATTTTTTTTTTGAAAATTAATTAACCAACTTGCTCTAGAACTTTATTCATGATTGGACGAACTCTGCACATGACTTCTAGCGGCTCTAATTTGGGCATGGTGATTCCTTTCCCTTCTTGCATGTCAATCTCTTTCTCACTCACTCTCTCCCATTCAAAACATTGAATCAACGATCCCAATACCAAGGTTATCATCCTTTGAGCCAATCCTGCGCCCGGACAAGTCCTTCGCCCTAACCCAAATGGCATGATCAATTTATGAGCTCTCCTTTATT